CGATTTTAGATCCTTTTGTTTTATTAGATTAATCGATGATATATATAGTTCAGATTAATTTTCTATTCTATTGAAATAATTATAGATATTCAATAATCTTAACAATTAATTCGGAAAATCTTGATTCTTTATATATTTATATATTAGAATGGACTTATTATTTTCATTAATGGGATTAGGAGACTATATTGAATTCTCAATATCGTGACGATCTCATGAGAAATATTAATATATTTACAAGATATTGATATATATTCATGAATATTGAAATATCCAATAAATTCTTTATATGATAAATAGGTGCGAATTGCGAAGAATATCTAATATAAAGATTAATATATAAGTATATGGAAATATATGGATTGTTATCAAAATATTTGCTCTCGATTAATATATATATGGTATGTTGTCAAAATATTTGTCTCCGAAATTGACATTAATAAAGGTATAATTACGTGCCGTTTCATGTGGCAAGAGAAAACCGGGACTATAGATATATAAAAATAAATATAAGAATTTGGAAATATATATATGAATTCCTAAGAAGATTGCTAGTCGGAATTTTCAGCTGCTGCTGTCGGACGGGCTGTCGCTGCTATTACTACTATTAGACTCTTTGCGCTCTTGCAACTTGTCCCGCTGCCGCTGCTGACGGGCTCGAGATCCGCAAACTTCTTGTATCCAAGTCACGTCGTAGGGCTTTGGAGCCAATGCCTTGCACAATCTTACGTTAGATAGAAGAATCGCGCTATATATCGTATTATCTGTAGTAGCCGTCTCGACCTTAATTATATAAATATTGCCGTTCTACGGAATACTCTATATGTATCTCGGATCCCGTCTGCTGTTCCAGGATCTTGGTTCGTGCGAAAGAGGGCCATGGTCTTCTGGGACGTATTATATTTAATTTTTGCTAGTACCGATTCAGTGCGGATCTAGCGCACTAACCTCTCTTACAAATACCCAAAAGTGACCTCACAAGATGAGGAGACCAATGATATAAATATCGAGACATCCGGAAATCCTAGATAGATAGACATACCTACAATAACAATCCCGTAACCGAAGAATACTGCTCAACTACTCTAATGCACCGAAAGCTGTGCGTGCCATTTATTTCTCCTCTTCCTTCTCCTTCTTCTATTCCCTTCTCAAAATTCTGCTATTTATTCAAACTAAAACAACGACGACGAAGAGGGGATTTCAAAGCCCTCCCAAAATAAAATAGGGTCATGGATGCGCTCGATGGCGCTATCATAGCTTCTAATTTCTAAAGCTTCAGGTTGAGCATGCGGTTCTCAGTATGTTTAGCGCGAAGTTGGCGGATTTCCAAACTCAGCTTCGGTAATAAACGACTACAATTACGTGCCTCCTCATAACGAAGAACATGTATATATATATATACTCATTTCAATCCTTCGATATATTTTTCGATAATTAAAATAACGAAATATTATTTTAAATATCCTTAATTTCATATTCAATATTAATATATTTTCTTTTACCATAAATAATATAAAATAAAACCCTCGATATTTCATTAAATTTAATCAGATTTCAATGAATTATATAAGAATTATTAAAATTTTTCTTTTTTTATAAACATATGCTCTCAAGATAATTCTTATCATTATATTCTCATCATATTTTTTCAATCATTTCGCGAAATCTCCAAAAACTACTGTGGAAATATATTTATCAATCTTCTTAAATTGTATAAATCTATTCAAAATTCATTTTTGTAAAGACGAAGAAATCATCAAAATAATTCCTTTATTCGAAAAATTAGAAAATATCTCGATATTTCGAATATCATTTTATTACTTAAACTTAATCTATCTCTCGGCTTAAAAGTCTACTATGGTCGAATAAAAGGTTAAGATTTAAAATTAAAAATCCGATCACGCCAGACCCCAAACCCCTATCGACTAATAAATCAAAAACATAATTTAAAATTAATAATTGATTTTTCAAAATCATCTTATTAATTCTTTTTTTCATCATGCTTAAAAATTTAATATCAATAGATAACTATTTTAAAATATATATTCTTTTCTCATTTCAGAATTCTTTTGTATTTAAAAACCTTCTATAATATTCCCATCTCTTCACCAAATATAATACGACTCGAACGCCCCACGATTTATACACCTTCACCCACCACTCGACGATATCCCCCGTCCTCGACATTCCCTACGACTCCTACCCCCTCCTCCGCCTTCTACGCGCTGCCCACCACTTCACGACACTTCCATGATATGTGCGCTTTCGTATATCCGACCCCCCACGACCCTCATGTCGACACGCCCTATTCGCCCACGAGGCTCCCCACGACTCACGCGCCCTCGGCTCCCCATAACACTCTACGAGACTCCCCTCACCACAGCGTGCCAACCTTGGCGTGCGACTCCACGACACTCGCCTCCACCCACCCTCACCTGCCACTCCTAACAGACGCCCCCCCTGCCCGCCATTCCACTCCACTCCCCTCAACGCATACGTCCTCGTCCGCCACTTCGCGACAATCCCCTCCACATGCCCTCACCCACGCTCCACGAGTCCATACATACCTTTTCGCCCACACTCCCCTCGACCCGCCCTCGTCAGCCACGACATTCCCAACGACCTATATGCCCTCGCCCACCACCCACGACACGCATCTCCTCGCCTGCAACTTACATATCCTTTCTCCGGTCTACAACTACGATATCTAATCGATCATTTTCTCAAGCTTGCAGAAAATAGAGGTTTATATTCAAGCATCCGAAAAATATTCATAGTGCAGTAGAGAATGTACTAAATATAAAAGCGTCGACCCTATTCTCTAGAAACACAAAAACAGCTTAAGCAATTTCGACAAGATGTCGATCAGATAATCCAATACTTTAGCGAGACGACATAATAAACTCAAAACTAGAATATAAATCAAATTACTCGGAAAACGTAAAATATGAAATAACAAGTTTCCCAGAAACTTAGTGCGAAAACACGAGATGCTAATATGACCAGAGTTTTAAAGATTTCAACACAACATTTACATGGTTCTTAACAAGCACGATCAAATAGATCATTGCATGTGAAATATTCGAGTTCATATCAACAAAAAGCCTGCACGGTGCGTAAACATATATGAAGGAGCAATTGAAAATACACGCGACCCAATATGTCGTCTCTAGAAGTCTCAAGACATGCGAAATTCTTGACGTTGCCGGAAGCTCGACAAAGAAATTGATATCGATGATGATGACGATGATCTAGCCCCCATGAGATCTAAATCTGTGGCAAGAACCCACCCATACACATGCTTCGAAATCATCATCGGCTGAATGTCGCATCCACCCTGTATCTTCAAGCATCTGGAGGGCCGAACGACATGGATGGCTCTTAATTCTAACTACTGTAATTATAATAAGGAGCCCCAAAAATGTTTTAGGCAATTGTGAAGGCCCCTATATTACATTGGTCGCTCGGGATCCTGGCCCCAGTCTGAAATCGTGGGAGAGTGGAACCTGTTCGGAGCTCTCTTCCTGCAGCACAACAGACAGCGCGTTCTTCCTTGAATCCACGGCCTTCTTCACAGCGCTAGGCACTGCCATGTGCAAAATCTGTACGATAATAATTAAAGGAGTGATCTCTTTGGATCCTCAGGCATAGTGCTAGACCTGCTGTAGCCTGTGCTTTGCTCAGCCAAGCCCTACAACACGAACGGCCTGAAGTCCGTGCAGGCCAAGCACGAAACCCTCCTGAAGCTTTTAATCAGCACTCTCACCGTCGTCCTCTGACCTCTGGGAAAGCAAGAACCGAATTACGCGCAGGAGGCCGTAAATGCCAAGAAAGAAACCGGCCTCGGTTTGTGGACAGCGAGGGTAAAGGCTTTAAGGATTTGGGGCTTCTCTTCCCTTTTTGCTGCTGTTCTTGCAGAGAATGTCGGTGTAGGGCTGGATACTTGGGACTTACGACTCCCTAAACCCTAAACCCCTAAACCCTAAACCCCTTAACCCCCTAACCCCTAAACCCCTAAACTCTAATTTCGCCTTCCATTTGTAGTAAGACGTGCGTTTAAGGGAGCTCCTTGGAGACCCCGTAGAGGATCGGAAACAGCAGAATTTGGGCAAGGACGAGCTCTATATGGGAGGTACCTTATTTTGGGGTCCTTATAATAAGGATCCTACCATTTAGAGTATTATATTAGGGTCCCTAATTTCGAAAACCCCCATATTGAGTTCCCCAAAGCTCCACTACAACAGCATGCCCTCGGTTTAGGCAGTCTAGTGTGGTACCTTTCGATATTTCCACACACTCCCATGCTTTTGCGGAGGCTCCTGTGGTTGGGACCTGAGAAACTCGGGCAGCTGAAGCCTCTAACCCTCGAGCCCCAAAGTCCTAAACTCGCCCCCGGTATACAAGCCCTCTAAACGTTTTTAGGGTTTATGGTGCATATACCCCAACCCTTGAACCATCTTGAACCTAAATCCTCTCAGCTATGCGAGTTGAGCCCCGGCGAGGTCAAAATGCAGCTTCTGCAACCCTAGATAAAGCCCTTGTGAACACCTGATAAACCCGATAATTCAATAAGCCTTCTATAAAAAGCCTTGAGTGTACACACTTTTGTAAAACCCTCGCAAACATGACTTGCAAAACCCTTGCAAGCCCTAAACTTCGTAGCCCCAGCCCTTCCCAGACGAGCAGTAGCCCTTATGGGTACCCGTTGCGGCATCTGACCTCATAGTGTTCTAATAGCCCTTACCGGAACCGCTGTCCCTGACCCTTGTGAGAGCCCCACTACGGTTGATGGAACAAATCCTGCACTACCCATAATTAGGAATATACCATAATTTACACAGTTTAGGGTCCTTGAGGTAATGCAGGATTTATATCATCAACAGTAGGAACCCTCACAGGCCCTTTTTTTTTCCAATGTCGGACAAGCAGCCCGGCCCAGGATCGGTGCCGCCAGAGCCGTCACCGATGCTGGCAGTTTACTCCTTCGCAGTTCAGCTCAGGTCTAGGGGTACTGGGCCTGCTTAGGCTGTCCTGGGTGTTTAGGTTATTGCTTAGGTTTAGTGTGTTTAGGGTGTCAGGGTTCTTCGCGAGGATGCAAGCCTTTTAAGCTTGGGGTTTATAGAGCTTTACGGGCGTAAGACTGTGTATATACTAAACATTCAACGAGCCGACTCTCTTCAGCCCAAGCACATGCACTCGAGGAGGTTTCACAGCCGGCCTAGCGCTCACACTGTGACTGAGCAAGCCAAGCAAATGTCAAAACGACTGAACGGTACTGCTCAATGAAAGTGCAGTACCTGGGTTCAAACAAGGCATTATAAAGGGCTAGGAAGAGTACGACAAAGGTTGTCGGCTTTGCTATAATGTAATAACATAGGGAATATAAGATCAAATTGATACTAGCTATTCAGACTTAAACAATGCTTGAAGAGTCAGACGAGTTAGTAAGACGGTAGTGAATAGAGGTACAGTTGGACAATCGACGAAGAGAAATCAGTCCACAGACGCTTTGAGTGCTGCCATATACTCCAGGATCCCACCTGTCCAGACCAAAACCTAGGACTGCAACACTAAGTAACCAGACCTTAGCAGTACGCAACAAGAGGAAGCCTGTTCCGGAACTCCCATCTCCCAAGCAGCGCTGATGCCAAGCCCCCCCTCCTTGATTTTGAAACTCCGTAGCAAGCCTTATCAGACTCTTATACAACCCCTAGAGCATAAACCCTAAACCCTAGGTCTCATAAGGCTCTCTGGCACCGCACTTACAAAAGGACCCTTAATAGAATCTATCAGGGCTCCTAAATGGGTTGTTAAAAAGATCTCCCTGATAAGAGGCCGTTCCTTATAATGGGCCCCCCTTTAAAGGCTCTCTTCAGGTTTCCTTTATAGCATGTTTAGGGTTTAGGGTCTAGGATTTAGGGTTTAGGTTTATTCGGGTTTAGGGTCTAAGGTTTCAAAAGACTCAAACTCCGGACGCCCCCGACATTGCTTCCCAGGCTCAGGGCGTAGTTCCCCAAGGCCAGGCCCACAAGCACCTGCAAGCTGAAAAATGGCACCTTAAGAACTTCGGGGATATATAAATAGATAAATAAATAAATATATATATATAGATTATGGTATAAATCATATATAAGAAACCTTGCGAAAATTCAGGTCTCCATATCAACTTGAGGGCTTTAAGGCTTTGCGGATGCTTGGGACTTCAAGATTTCCAGGAGTTTTGTCGTGCTTGGGTTCTCAAATGTCAGGGATTCAGGGTTTCTCAAGGGCGTTTAGGGTTTAGGGTTTCTGGGATTCAGGGTTTCTCAAGGGTGTTTGGACGTCGCTGGTTTTCTGGAATATCAGGGTTTCAGGATATGACCTCTTCATTTTCAGGGTTCCTTGCTGAGGAGGTCCGTAGAGAAGCAGAAATGGGGTTTCATCAAGCTAAGATTTTCGTCCGAGGGGTCCACCAATCCGAATCTCTCTCCTGTTTTGTACATGGCATCTTCAAGGCTTATGGCTTTTTGTCTACGGTAGCTTGTAGAGGCGTTTGGTAGGTTCTGGGACGCACATGAACTCGGGGACTTGGAGGCTTTGCACTTCGCCTTTTTCTTCATTCTTCTTCGTCTCATGTGGGCTTCAACCCGAAACCCGAAACCCTAAAGCCTAAGTTTCAGGAAAAGAAACCACCCCGCCCGGCCCCCCTACGTGGAGCATAAGCTTTGGAGTTTCGTGACTCGGCAAACCGTGGCAGCCTAAACCCTGAAGCTGGTGAGGATTTTTGAGATTCACTAGAGTCACTAGGGACTTCAAGCGAAAGGATGCGGATTTCCAAATCAACGGCCGTAATGAAGATCTTTCAAGTTGAAGGATCTTAGATTGGATGCACAATGGGGTGCAGGCTCAAAGGCCAAGAATTGGGACTATGTGTTTAAAGCTCTTTTTTGTACTGAGAGGTTTCTTCCTAGAGATCAAGTTGAACCTGACAAGAAGCTCCAGAAGGTAGAAGTGTTCTTTTGAAGAGCTTAGCCCCGCCACTTCCTGCACTTCCAGAATCACTTACTGGAATCGCCGGGCACCAAAACAGCCAGTGTGGGTAGAAGACCGACCACCACATCTATGATGACGCCAATGGTGAAGGACAGAACTCCTGCACATCTTCAGGCATCGGCAGTCCCCCAAGCAAGAGTTCTTCAAAAGTGCTCCAGGAAGGGGAACAAACGTCATGAAACTGAACTAGCCCGAGTCCGCTGCAGTTTCACGCCCCGCCAAGGCAAGATGTCCAGCTGCAGCAGCAGCAGCACCACCAAACCAAATCATAGTCACAATTACAACAACAATCATGCTACCAACAACAATCATGCTACCACTAGTACTACTACTACGACGACGACGATGACGACGACGACTAATGCCACCTGCTGCTACCGTTGCTGCTGCTACTACTTAGTATTTCTACTACAACCACGACGACTACTACGACGACGACTACTAACGAGAATGCTACTGCTGCTGCTGCTGGATGCTGCTGCTGGATGCTGCTGCTGCTGCTGCTAGTACCACTACCACTACTTACTTACTACTACTATTACTACTACTACTACTACTACTACTACCACTACTACCACTACTACCACTACCACTACCACTACTACTACTACTACTACTACTACTACTACGTGGAAAGATAATATTAACAGCAATATTCGTCATAATCATCTTCGTCGTCGTCATCATCGCCGTCATAGCCATCATCATGATAATCATCCTCATCATCCCAATCATCCTCATCATCACTAACATCATCGACATCCTCCTCCTCCTCACCATCATCATCATCATCATCGCCATCACCATCGTCTTCATCTTCATCTTCATCAGCATCATCATCATCATCGCCGTCATACTCCATATGGTAAACGTTGTATATGATATACGGTTCCGATTCATAATATGTTAACTACTTTGGATAGTTTAGGCCTCTGCATCCAGGTATACATCACTGCAGAAACTCCAAGCGTCGAGCTCTCTGTTCTCGGACACTGTCACACACTGTAGTATAGAAAGCTCAGTGCTCAACTTAAACAAAAACTTCGAATGTAATATCATTGCAGTTATCGCTTTCGGGCTTAGTGTTGAGGGTTTTTGACTACCGAAACCTCGAGCGTTGTAATATGGTCCAGGGTTTGTGTGGGTTCAGGTCTTAGGGTTGAAGCCAACCCTGGCGCCGTCCTAGAGTAATCGCGATAATGAAGCCGACAATGAAGGCGAACAGCTTCTCCTGGGCTGAAGGGGCCCCCAAAGCCATCCATGAATAAGTACATCTACGAGACCATAGGGGGCTATAGGGTTGAGGGTCGTGAGGCAAACTGAAAGTGATCCCAAACTGCCATCCAGCTTCAGCGAGGTCAGAGGCGTCGTCGACCATCTTGTTTGGGATCCTTCAAACCGAGAAGACAATGTCTGAGGTACAATATGTCTATATAATATAAATATAGGACAGATAGACATATGCATATGTATATCTATATATATATATGTATATATATATGTATACATGTATGCATGATGGTATAAGACTTCAAGTTTTTGGTTCTGCTGCTCCGTGGCCTGGTTTTTGAAGTTCAATTGCTTCGATTGCTCGACCGCTTAAGACTTCCACGCCTGTAGAGGTCACACCTCTAGGGTTTAGGGGTTTAGGTTACACCCTGCACTCTGCCAAATCCTATTGCCTAATTCAGGACACTGACCCTTTGACCAGGGTTTTAAGGTACGTGGTCGTAGATTTACATAGCGATTGCACGGGCTTAGTTGTTGAATTTATCCAGACCCCCGCATGAAACCCCCCAAACCTTTTGAAAGGCTGGGTGCAATGTATCAGGTCTCAGTGGCCTCAAAAATCACCGCGGATCTCTCGGCGTTTTGATGCGTGTGGCTTCTGGGGTTAGGGATGGTTTCTAGAGAGGAGAGCCAGGCTTTTTCCAGCTTTTCGACTGCAGGTTTCTTAAGGAAGCGCTTCTAATCCTGGTGTTTTGGCTTTGGGACTTGGGTCTCCGAGTTTGTTTCAAGCTGGAAGGATCTGGCAAGCTGGCTGATGGAGTGAGGACTCGTCGGAACTAGTGCAAAACCCAGCCCTTGACCTGGTCTCTTAGGCCTAAATCAAGAACCTCAAGCCGGAAAGCCGCATTCCCAAAGACTACAAACCCCAACAATGGAAACCTGATCTTCTCTTCCGCCTCAGGGATATGGGTTTCACAAAAAGGGACCTCATTTTCTCGGACGACCACTGCGCACATACAAGTTTCGTCTGAAGCTAGGAGCATTCACAGGATCCCGACCAGAAAACAGAACAGGGCTACGGTTGAGGGCAAGAGAGTTCGGTGTTTTGGGCTTGAATGATGGTTTAAGGAGGTTTATGGTTTAGGGGTCTAGGGTTTAGGGCTTCGGGCTTTATTAAGGTTCCTGGGTTTGTCAGGGTTTCAGTTTTCCCTTCACCCGAGCCGTTTTTGACATCTCTCCAGGGGCTACATGATGCCTCAACTCACACGAACGGGAGCTGCGGGCTATAGCTAGCATACTGTAGACTCTTGGTTCTGGGTTTAGGGTTTAGGGTTTATGGTATGGAAGTTTGACAGAGGAGGGTGCCCTGACACTAGGGTCTTTGCCTACCACAGTCCAAGGAACCCCCAGAAGGGAGGGTTAATTCCAAGAACTCCCCATGTAAACCCCAAGTGCCGAATCCTCAGAGCTTTAAGCCGGGAAGCTTCATGGCATTGTCCATCAAAGCTTTCGAGTATGTCATCTCGATCTCCCCCCATATGTTGAGCCGGATGTACCTTGCAAAATGACTTTTGAGACCTTGATGGAAGAGGCCCCCCGGAACCCCAAGTACGAAGAAGCGCTTGACAGCCCTCCTTGACCCCGAAGCCGAAAGCTGGCCTTCATGGGTTGACACACGGATCAAGGCCAGACTCTCTAGGCCCTAGGGTATATGCCAGCCAATGGGACCACTTCAGGACTATACTGTACTACAATCTGCTATCCCGTTATAGGGTATTCGGTTGTAGTCCGAAGAGCGTGACAGAAGAGCGGAAGCACCAAAAACTCAGGACAATTGATGATGATACTCGGGTCACCCTGCGCTAGGAGCTCGAATACGCATGGAGTGCTGCATAAACGCTGTTCTAGAAGGCTACCTCTAGGTCTACAGGGGTTCTGTGAGGGGTCTGAGCACATGGGATCATTGCACCATCTGCGGGAGAGACATGAGGTTGGAGAACAGATCGCAAAGGACTACGTTTGCACTCCGATCGCTTGTGGAAGTGCACAAGAAGCCACCGACCGGAAAACCCTACTATAGGGGCCTTAACAATTAGAATGAAGTTTTGGGGCCCATTCTACTATAAGTTATAACAAAGGAACCCCCCAAAATAGTATTGGCAATTATTTAAGCCCCTACATTAAGCCGAGTGTTCCGTGGAACCCCAAATGCCTAACAACTGGCCAAGCCGTAACCCACAAACCCTAAACTGAAGGCGGGGAAGGAGAGACGAATAGACAACTAGACCAAGAGGTAGGTACATAGGTAGACAGCTAGACAGATAGATGAATCAGATGGGTAGATAGACAGATAGATACATAGGCAACTGCGACGCCCGAGAGGGCCAATGCAACCACGACTACACACCCAGGGAGATCACCACGCCAGCGAACAGAAGTACGAGACCGATCCTGATGCCGTCGCTTCTTTGCTTAAACAGGTCAGGGTTTAGGGTTTAGGGTTCAGGGGGCTTTAGGGCTTCCAAACATGCCTTTCAAGCTTCGAGCTTTAAGATTTAGGCTCGAGGGTTGAAGCTTACGGGCGCATGCGCTGGTGTTTAGGGTCAAGATACCGCATCCACACCATTCCTTCTCCAGCGTGTGATGTACGGGCCCACTTGGAGACTTGGGTGCTGGCTTGATGGGTTTAGGGTTGGACCATGTTGGCTTTTCTAAAGAAACATCTCAGGACCTTCCGACGATTGTGTCACATGTGTCACTCGCTACAGCGTTTCCGAGAATTGAACCTGGCTGTCCAAACCTGCCAACACCTATTTCGACGAGGGAAAATATGAGCCCTTGTGGCTCTCAGGGCTTAACCCAACAGTCTTGAGAATGTCCAGCCGCTACACCGCCGCTCAGAGGTCATTGTCCGATGGGCATCACTATAGTACGAATGTAGTACCTTCAGAAACCGTTTTATTCTTACTATTATTCTTAGTCTTATTGTGTTTGTGATTCAAACCGATATTAGGACCGTTAGGGTAGTTCTTGTGCGATTTCAGGATGTCCACGGTTTAGATCTGGGCAACTCTTGTCCGACCAAGCTCGAAACCAAGCAGGGCACTGATCGGTTGTTGCCAGAATCGCGGCAAGGCCAGAATCGCCTTTCGGTGCGAGGTAGGTTGAAGCAAAGGCTGCTCCTTCAGGGAAGGAGGATGATCACACCGACCGCTTTCGCTTCTGCTGCGGCCGGCGTAACAAGAAGCATTGACTCAACACTGGTGGTGTGGAACAGTATTCACGATTGAGGCATGTAGCAGCAGGACTGCAAATACAACATCAAAGCCGCTGCCAGTAGCGAGCAGCAGCCACATGCATCGTCGTCGTAGTCGCAGTGGTAGTCGCAGTGGTAGTCGTAGTGGT